TTCAAGTCAGAAATAACTCTTCACAAGAAAAAATGGCTTGGACATAAACCCCACATACAGCAATGATGTTGCGTGCGCCCAGTTTATAGGCGTAATCGCTGACACACTGAAAAAAAGACGTCAGTGGAAATTGCGAACAGTTGAGAACCTTCCTGAGCCTTCCTGATCGATGGAGACACAGACATCGCCACAAAAGAATGTGTCATTGTGTACGCTCGTATCTTGCAAAAAGGAAGACCATCGAATATACTGATTGGACACATTGAGGTCGAGCATGCCCATGCCCAAGCCATGTCATGTCACGTAGCCTATGTATATGATTAATAATATTACGTCGTGTTACTGCATTAACCATATCTAGCATATTCTTATCATTGAAAATTAAACATAGCAATAATACATGAATATAGAAACTCAAACTGAAAAAGACTGCATTGTAAACTCTTGATCTTATAAGTAAATGGTTTTTTTTTTTTTATTTGTTTAGGAATTTATGCTGCCTCAAAGAAAGCATTTGCTGCTCTTGGGGACCAGTGCAGTAACTGGTTGGATAAAATCATTGCTATGGGGGCTGATGGAGCTGCTGTTAATTTGGGCAGCAAAGGGGGTGTCATAGCCCTTCTGCAGCAGGAGGCAGGTGACCACATTGTGCCCTTCCACAGGAGATGCATCAACTCTGGCTGAAGATGGTGTTGCTGCAACTAAACTTAAAAAAGTAATGGATGCAACAATCAAATCCACTGTGAAAAATTTGAAAGCAAGATTCAGCAGTCTCCTAGGCAAGTGTATTAACTACATGTAGATAAGAAATATTTTTATTATTGTTAACAGCATTGTTATATTTTTATTTTCATTTATTAAAATGTATTTGTTCTTACAACAGAGGATAGTGCTTCTGAGTCAGCCACAGCCAAAGCTGTCAAATGCTTCAACATTTTCAATCATGATAGCTGGCCAGAGAACAAAGAGGATTTAGTGGACCATGGTGCTGATGACCTTGCTTTTCTATTGGATCACTTCTCCACAGTCCTGAGAAGGTAGCTGGTGGATTGCTACGATATCATGTGTGCTGGTCGTAGATATGTTGTTTATGTGAACACTGATTAGCTGTGTAAACCACATCATTTTCAGAAATGGTGTAAACGCAGAGCTTGCAAAAGAAGAGTTTGTAAGTTTGAAGCTGTTATGTTCAAAGACAAGACCTACCTCAGCCTTTGGGAGCTCATGTTGACCAGAGAGCCGTACTGCTCAGAGTACAAGGTCAGTTTTGGTTGATGTTCTTTCCTAAGATTGTGTGAGTTTTGCTATCTAACACAAATTGGTTCAACAAATCTCTTGAATGTATTTTTCTCTCAGAACATCCTGCATCTTGTACACATTATGCTGGTCCTACCTGTCTCAGCTGCAGTATGTGAAAGAGGGTTCTCTGCACAGAAGAGAATTAAATCAGACACAAGAGCATCCCTTCATTCAGAGACAGTGGATGACCTGATAAGAATCAGTGTGGAGGGGCCAAGTCTGGAAGATTTTGATGCTAGAGAGAGTGTGGCAAGCTGGTTCACCCAAGGCGAAAGATCAAGAAGGCCAAATTACAGGAGCTGGCCATCTGAGGGGCATGTGACTGCAATGGAGGACAATCCATAAGATGTCAAGTTGTTCAGATATTGAAATGTTCAGTGTGAAGCCTTTGACACTTTGAGGAACTCTTTAATTTAGATTTTTTTTTTTTAAATTTAATATATCTTGAGATGTTTTAAATTTGTTTAATGTTGAAATTTCAGCTCAGTGAAGCACTTTAAGCACAAGCATTTTTAAGTAATCTTTCTTGTAGAACTTTGCTACAAATAAAGAGCTTTGTGTTGAAAGGTTGTTAGTTAATCATTTACAAATCAAAAAAACGTGAACATGTAAAACTGCGGTGTTAAGTAATGCAGTTAAAACATTTGGGTACGCCTAACTTTTGTGCTTGTACGCCTAAATTTTGTGCTGGTGCGCCTAAATTTTATTTTGAGGCGCACCAGTGCAACCGGTGCAGGAGTGGTGTATCTGCCTTTTGACTAGCAGAGCAATGATTTATGGAAGCTGGGTGTGGTGCCAGTTTTCTGGGTAAAGGATCTGTGAGTTTTATAAATATAACTTACTATAATAACAGTTTATTTACTGATTGAGGGGGGTGATGGTGCTTTTTTGTCTTTGGACATTTCAATGTGGTCACATAGTTTATGCACGAATGTATTGAGATTTAAAACAACAGCATGGAAAACTTTGATCTGGTTGCAGGTACAGCTTTTTAAGATTTATGACTGTGTCGGAGGTTGTGTGTGGAGGCGAGGAAGAGATGACCCAAACACTGGACTCATGGTGTAGAATGATGATGTTTTACTGGAGCGAGTGAATGAACAGAGCAGGAACGACAGGACTGGGTGATTGACTGACTGACTGAAAGACTGAATGGCTGGCTGAACAACTGAAAACAGGCGGGAATGACAACATTGTATCTACAATGACACGACAAGGAACTGGTGGAAATTGAGGGTTTAAATACACTGGCTAATGATAATGATTAGGGACCGGTGAGAACACAGCTGAACATAATAGAACTATTAACACACAGGAAGCAAACATGAAAACGGGAAATGTGGACAGGTGAATAAACTGAACATGAAACAACTGAAAACACTGGGTGAACACCCAGGAACCCTGACAGACTGTTTTAAATTATGATTTTTGTAATATTGATATCCATATTGTGAGTGGGAATTTTTTTAATGGACATTTTTTGTGTTCAGCAGTGACTCTTTCTTGTTGTCCTTCAGCTCAGCCATGTAGGGCAATCACATCAAAACATCTGGGTGCTTATCTTGTAAGAGCAGAGTAACTTCTATTATTTTCATCACTTCCTTCAAAATCTGCTTTATGTGATATACATTTCTAATTTTACTCAAGTACTGATGCCTAACTTGTTTGCAGTGGGTGTATGTGTAAAGTGAATGTAGTTCCTTCAAAGCTTTGGTGTGATCATTTGCATTGCAATGAAACACTTATTGTTTGTTGATCTTAAGTTACAGCTTAGACATTTACTGATGATTAACCCTTTTATGGCCTGGTGTTGTTTGAGAGAGAGAGAGCGAGAGAGAGAGAGAGAGAGAAATTTATCAGACTCAGTAATTGGTGCATAATATTCAGAAAAGTATTTCTGATTTGAATTATTCTCCACTGTTAAACATGAAGTTTCCTTATGTGTAACACTTATAGATCCTAGGACCTGCCGTCCACATATGTGGACATCACATTGTCATATGATTGTTGGGCTTCTCTCTGTTTGTATTACTTTAGGGTCTACCATAAAGCACCTTAAGGCAACTGATGTTATGATTTTATCAGTGTTGGGCAAGTTACTTTGAAAAAATAATGAATTATAGTTACTGGATGGAAAACATAGTAGTATAATGGCAGTGCTGGGAAGGTTACTTTTAAAATGTATTCCATTACAGTGTACATGGCCCAAAATGCATTTCGTAACATATTACATTAAGTTACACAATGAGAGTAACATATTCTGAATACTTTGGATTACTTAACATATTATCATACTTTTTACAACTACATGAATGTACTATTGCTGTGTGATTTATTACTATTACTGAAGGCTACTCACCATAACAATACAAATCTAGTTGGTATTGGTATGGCTAATAAAATAATATAAAATGAGTAACAGGGTGGACATTAGGTAAGGCCAGTGTTGGGAAGGTTACTTTTAAAATGTATTCCACTACAAATTACAGAACACATGCCCCAAAATGTATTTTGTAAAATATTCCATTATATTACTCAATGAGAGTAATGTATATATCCAAGAATACTTTGGATTACTTAATACTAGTGCTGTCAATAGATTAAAAAAAAAAACAAAACAAAAAAAACGTATTAATCTCACAGTTTTCTGTAATTAATCGTGATTAATTGCATTTACTTGATCAATAGCCTGGTTGCAGTTACATTTTCTCAACTTTATATTTAAACTTGTAACTGACATTTATGCAATATAATGTAGTAAATGCAGAATAAACACAAAGAATGTATGCTTGAATTTGAATAGTTCTTTTTCTTTCTTTTAACACATCTTCAGTGATGTATCCTGGGGTCGTCAGGTGTTT